TTAGTGCATATCAATTTGAATGTATTATTTAATGCCGATATTGTGACCTTGCATGCAGTAAATGTGTGTTATTTTACAAAGGCAGAGTGCCATATCAGTTGATAACCTCTTGTAAGCTTGTAATTGTTATAAATAACATGTCATTGTTAAATATGCATACACAAATACAGTATGAGTTTCATTTGGATCTATGAATTTTAATTAAAACAAAAAAAAAAATTGTATTATTTATCATTGAAGCACCGCATTCTAATTAGCGCAAGTTATTTCTTAAATGTGAAATGTTAATTGCATTTGTTGTGTATTTTTCATGATAAAAAAAACCAAAGGATTTTGTTTAAGCCAAATTCCAAATTATTAACAGAATAAGTAATTTAAATCACATTTTTAAAAGTCTCACACTTAACCTCAACTTAACTTACATAAACATTAAAAAATAATTACTCTTATTTTCGCTGTTCTGGACCAATTTGCAAAAAAGAAATGAAAAATTATATAGAAATGTAAAATTATATAGTCTGTATTTGTTCATATGTAAACCTAACACTAATTTTGATTGGGTAATATTGCTAACATAATAATATTATTATGTATTAAAGATGAAATTTAACGACGAAACATTAAAAAAATAGGTATATTAAAAACTGAAGTGCATCGAAAATGTGCATGTGCATGTTTTGTCATTAGGTTATAATTTCGGTTAGATGGTTTATTTGAAGAGAATGTCTTTTTGATACTTTTTTTTACTTTTTTTAATTTGAAGTCTCTAAGTCGTTCGATACTTCTACTACTTTATTTTTATGACTAGACGTAAACTTTTTACTTTTAATACTACTTCTAAAAAAAAAAGAATAAAACTTATTTATGATCTAGATCATTCCAAAGCTTCCATTCACAATATATACTTCAAAATGTAACCGTTAAGACAAATGCCATTGAATTGAAACTGGTCGCATTTTCTACGTAGTCTATACACAATGAATTTAAGAGCACTGTAATACTAAAAATATATTAACAGTACGAACCGTCTATAAATGATTACGTAGGTTTATATTAAAAGTACATTATAACATAACTATGTACTTTATAAATACATGTTATGAACACTGATATAAGTACATAAAGACACAAAGTTAATTGGAATATTTCCTAGTTATAAATAGCTTAGTCTGAAAACGTATTAAGCCAAAATAGCAATTCGTTTGAATGGCGATCACGGACCTAACTATTAACATAATTTCCTGTTCTATTTTGTGAAAATGTTACAGCGAAACTTGAAATTTGCATTTATATTCACACACGTATTGTAAGCTAGTTCTAGTAAGCATGTATAAGAAATTATAATTTGCATTATGAAATATGTAAGGAAATAGCTAAGGAATATATGGAAACCGTAAAATTTTATCAAATAAACGGAATGTAAATACGTGCTTAGTATTTTATTTGTTTAAAGATTCTGCGCCGCTAGTTTTCCAATGTACATAATAATATGTAACAATAAATGATAAGGTTTATTTTTGTGTTTAATAATGTTTATGTTTAGTAGTTTATGAAGTAAATTCACGTCTTTTGTTAATCTATGAATCCTCTGCACCTGATAACCCCGATTACCCTTAGAAAACGTTTTCCCTATTAACGCTTCCTCAGTATTCTGGTTTGAGACAGCCAATAGTATTGAGAGTTCTACTTCAGCACAATCAATATACGTAATCTTCGGCAAATCCGTGACCTAGTACTTTTTCTCTAGCTCCGGAACAATCCAAGCGAGTCCCGGCTGGTAGCCAGGTGGCAACCCTGACAAGGGCACAATATCTTCATTAAATGTAATTGTGCAGTAGGTATCTATTTAGCGGTACCAATTGATTATCCCTCGATCAATAACTAATATTTTTGAAGTACGATTTGGATAAATTATAATAATATATATGTCGTGGATAACGACTTTTAGTTGTCGTGGATAACGACTTTAGTAATATTAAGACGGTGGTTTTGATTATTATTTTAAATGATGAAATGTTGTTTTGATAAATATCACAAAACGAAGGGTAGACTCCGTAACGCCACAGTATAAAATGGCGGTACGTGGACAGAGTCGTGGCATTCCGTGTCAGACAGTAATTCCGTCCGTCTCAGTCAGTGAGTCTCTGTCAGTCAGTCAGTCGGTCAGTCGGTCTGTCGGTATATGCAACGAAACTGTCGGTTTACCCTGTCATTGTGAAAGTTGTGTGTGTTGAGTTTCAATAATTATTACTGAAAAGTTTTATTGACTAAACTGAGTTCAATCGAATACAAGCGATGACGGAACCTACCGCTCAGCCATCCCTGACGTGTGTTGACATATATAAAAAATAAATAAATAAAATTGGAGTGTCTGTTTGTAATAATAAAATAACCACTTTTTACTAAACGCGTAAGTACCTATACACAGTACACATACCAAAATTATTTTATTTTTTATTTTTGTCTGTCTGTCTGTTTGTTCCGGCTAATCTCTGGAACGGCTGGACCGATTTTGACGGGACTTTCATTGATAGGTATCTGATGATATAAGGAGTAACTTAAGCTTTTACTTTTTTTTTAACTAGCTTCGCCCCGCGGCGTTTCCCGCGGTACGACAATAACTGCGGGTAACATCGCGAGACTCAGCTAGTAAATACTAAGAAATGTTCTGCGAGATGTTTATTATTTTCCTTAGTCTTTAATGACGTCACTGAAGTTCTTTCCGTGTACATGTGTCATGCCCGGATAGTTCATGGCATTATAATAATCTAAAATATAATACATTTATGAGACATTTAATGTACGTAATAATACATTAAATGTATCATAAATGTTTTGAAGTCGTCGTGGCCTATCGGATAAGACGTCCGGTGCATTCGTGTTGAGCGATATTTTAATTTGCAGAAATTCCACATGACGTTTTATAGTATTAAGAGCAGTTTATCCCTTTTTATCGGGTAGCAATGTGTCTTTTGTTTTTTACTGGTGGTAGGACCTCTTGTGAGTCCGCGCGGGTGGGTACCACCACCCTGCCTATTTCTGCCGTGAAGCAGTAATGCGTTTCGGTTTGAAGGGTGGGGCACCCGTTGTAACTATACTTGAGACCTTAGAACGTATGTCTCAAATGTGGGTGACGCATTTACGTTGTGGATGTCTATGGTCTCCAGTAACCACTTAACACCGGATGGTCTGTGAGCTCGTCCACCCATCTAAGCTATAAAATAATAATAATAATAATAAAAAGTGATTTTACGATTTCACGACTATTTTTTGTAGAAAAGATCGAATAAATAATTTGATTTGGACTTCGACAATGGCAGCCGCATAGGACTTGGCTACCAATTCGTTAGTACAGAAACTCGCCTAATATTGCGCTTCCAACTACATATTTTAATTAGAACACAATAATAACGTACTTAGTACTAGAACAAAGAATATTTTAAATTTTATTATTCATTGCATTAATGTCACAAAGAAAGTGTGTCAACTTCGTTATATGTACACAGGTGTTCAATGTCCGATGATAATAATTTTGTATTTAACTTTAAGGGTGTTTAAGAAGTTGTTGTTCTAGATATGTCAAGAAGTTTGCTCAAATAGCAAGCAATAGTATTTTGTTGAAAATATTTTCTGTTTCAGCAACGAATACAAAATTGACCAACAGTAACTAATATTATCATGTTTTTAGATAAAAAATAATAATAACTGCGAACAATCCACGCACCGTCATCCGGTCCCAAATTAGAATTCCCTGTGTTACACGTACCAGAGACTTACATAGATACTTATATACGTTTAAATATATACAGATAATCCTTTTTTCCTACCTATTCTATTAACCTCGAGGGGTTATTCTAGATTCACCGAAGTAGTAGACGAGCTCGCGGGGCTCAAACCGGGGACTATTGCTAACACTGGCCCTAGCAAGAGCAGTGCTTCGCGGAATTTACCAACGGATCGGAAACGCGACCCACTGAGAAGATCCGGCGAGAAACTCAGTGGGCTGTGTCTATGGGTTAATTTACTCGTCGAGCCCTTTCTCAGCTTAGACAACGGCTACCCCACATTTCAAACCGAAACGCACTACTGTTTCACGGCAGAAACAGGCAAGTTTCACCAGAAACTGAACATATAATAATAGTCACAAATGCTCACGATTGGTACTATTTAAGTATCGTATTAAACTAAGCTAATGTTGTTTACTACAACGGTGATTACATTCAAACTAGAATTGCGTTTAGAATAAACACAAAATTTTTTTTTTATTTGCAATTTTTGTGTTTAATAAAAGTTAGAATTTTTAAAATGCGTTTATGGTAACACACGACCTACTAGTTAAGAGATGTTTCAATTTAGATCAGCAAACCAACTTGTAGATCGCTTTATGTTACCGTTATTTGAAGGCATCGAAACCTAAGTGTCGCTGCAGACTGAGTTGTGAGGTTTAATTGTACTCTATTGTAATAACGACTGTCGTGACTCAAACTGGAAGCGTATTAACGCCTTAGTGTTGATATACACTTAATCGGAACATATGACTGGTTCGTAACAGAAATAAGCGGGAATATAGTCTATTTATGCGGCCTCAAAATAATACATTGCCAACAAATTAAACACACCACTACACTTTTTTTTTTCTTTTTCGGATGATTGTTAAGTGGTTTCTGGAGCCCATAGACATTTAAAACGTAAATGCGCCACCCACTTTGAGATATAAGTTTTTTTTTTTTTACTGCTCTTGTATGCAGACGAGCATACGGCCCACTTGATGGTGAGTGGTTACCGTCGCCCATGGACTTCAGCAATGCCAGGCGCAGAGCCAAGCCGCTGCCTACCGAAAGGTCTTCTAAGGTCTCAGTATAGTTACAACGGCTACCCCACCCTTCAAACCGAAACGCATTACTGCTTCACGGCAGAAATAGGCAGAGCGGTGGTACTTACCCGTGCGGACTCACAAGAGGTCCTTCCACTAGTAAAAACGAATAATAAAAGTTTAAACGGCCATTCTAGATTCTATGCGAACGGCACATAGTTCTGGTAAAACTGCAACATTAATCGATATAATTTTCCATAGAACAGTCGTAGTTTCATTATATTACAGTGACTCTGCAGTTACTATATTACCGACCAAGCCAAGCGTTGCCGTGTGTTACCATAGCGCTGGCGATCAAACAACGCTTATATTATTTAACCTCCATCACTTTGTTCATAACCAATGTTTTGCTGCACACTGGTGGACGACAACTCGCTTTAGTGGTTCTTTAACTGAGGTGCTAGCTAATTTGAGCCTTTTGTTTTCGAGTCAGGGCTGATTTTAGGGGTCAAACGTATCTAGTGCCGTGTTTGTTTTCTGTAAAGCCATCAGCGTTTCGATTTTCAAACTGGGTCAATGTATGGACAAAACTATTGCGGTGAAAATTCAGAAGTGAGTTGGACACGGGATAGTTAGAAAATTGTGGAATTAAAAAAAAAAGAGACAATGTTTTTAGGAAAATTATTTTTTTATAGTAGTATAATAGTTTAATTATTTGATTATAAATTTATGTTATTTCCTCCCTTAGTTTTAGGTGGTTTTACCTAATTTTCTTGAAAAAATTCATGAAATATATGATTTTGATTATAGAACAAAGAAAACAGGAAAATGAATTTCAAATCAAGATTTTTTATTTTATTTCTTTTCATTAACATTTTTGGGTGAGTTCAAATTTTATGCGATGGTGGCAGGTTAGCTTAAATGACATGGATTAACATTGGTGTTTTGGATACGAAACATTACGCTACGTTACGAACCTAGCCAGACAAGTGTAATAGTGTCATACTAACTACTAATATTTATTATCTTACTTAAGAAACACTATTTTCTAATTATAACTTAAACCTATACAATGGGAAATCATTGAAAAATGTTATAATGCTTACTAAACTTGAGAGAACTAAAAAGCGCCTTACGTCATGTTTGCAGCAACGCGGCAGCTCGGTCCAAGAGCGGAAAAATGCCCGTGCAGCCGATAAAGCTGTACTACTTGCCTCCATCTCCGCCTTGTCGTGCTGTTATGATGACGGCCAGAGTATTGGAACTAGACCTGCACCTTATCACCACTAATATCATGAACGGGGAGCACATGACACCGGAATACCTCAAGGTAATATTTGTGACCATGTTTGAAGCAGCCGAATCCCGTAAAACTACAAAAGAAAAACAACAAAAGTACCTTAACAATAAGACTGTCTTATTGTTAAGGTACTTTTGTTGTTTTACAGTACACTTCTTCAATGCACGATAGTACTTTTGAGGATAACAAATGGAATATCTTCCCCCGAGGACTTTTTGGTGGGAGCGCGAGGAGTGAAGTTGTGTGATTTGTTTTATTTTGTTTAATTAGTGTTTCTTCAGGTTTAAATGTGTAATAACGGTGGTTTATTATCTATTTAGTATCTATGAAAGTGCACAGATGTCGGAAATTCCACTGAAAAAATTTCTGTAAATGACCACCATTTTACTGAGATTATATTTCATACCATATCATCTCATCTCATTTCATTTAATATCATTTTTCATAAAAATAAGAATATAAATTAAACTAAACTTGACCTAAAGGTCTTAGAAACCAGGTCATAAAATCCCTTAAAAAAAAATCTTCCCCCCGAGCGGATGAAATTCGTATGTTATTGTTCAGAGCTTGTGTATATATAAAGCTATCTTCAAAATGTCGTTAACGAAATTCAGGCATCCGTAAAAAAACTTGTATTCTATATTGAGATATTCTTGTAGAGTTAATAGAATTAACAGACACTACAATGAGGACTCTTCCGCATAGTCTGAGACCCAAGGTCGAGCTAATAAGACAGATTAACAGAATTACTTAGAAAATTAGCAACGGCTCCAGGATTGTTTAAAATGTAACGGCATAATGTTGGGTAGAAAAGTTCACGGCCCTCCTGGAAGGTTTGTCTTGACCATATATATCACAACTACAATATCCCACCATGAGATATAAGGCTATAACAATGGTACGATGTCTGTCCTACACCTCAAACCAGATGCATAATTTCTTCGGAGGAGAAATATGGGCGTTGATGCTCACACACGCAAACTTGTTCTACCACCAGTATTTAATAGGATAGAATAGAAGATTGTCGTTGTTAAATAAGCCGAGTCGCATACCCAAATGTATCTTTTGTTAATTGACAAATAGACTATTTTTATTAAGATCGTCTGGTTTTCAAGACGTCTTACAGATATGGATACGACTACAGCCGACGCTTTACCAAATAGTCCTTGGAAAGTACCTATTAATTGTATTTCCTTAGTGTAACTTGTGTAATGAATTTTTTTTTCAATTTCAGATGAATCCTCAGCACACAATCCCGACTATGGATGACAACGGATTCATTCTTTGGGAAAGGTATTTATTTCATCATGAAAATCATGTACGCGTTTTTTACTAGTGGTAGGACGTATTGTGAGTCCGCAAGGGTAGGTACCACCACCCTGCCTATTTCTGCCGTGAAGCAGTAATGCGTTCCAGTTTGAAGGGTGGGGCAGCCGGTGCTCTGTAAAAACGGAGACCTTAGAACTCATGTCTCAAGGTAGGTGGCGGCATTTACTTTGCAGATGTCTATGGGCTCCGGTAACCACTTAACGTTCTTAATTGAGCAACTTAAATGGCATTAATATTCTAATTTTGAAATTATTCTTTTTTTCAGTCGGGCTATTCAAACCTATCTGGTCAATGCATACGGCAAAGACGATTCTCTTTATCCCAAGAATCCTCGCCAACGTGCCATTATCGACCAGCGGTTGAATTTTGATCTTGGCACTTTGTACCTGAGATATCTTAATTTATACGTAAGTTATAATAACATTACAATAAGTAATAATTTAGTATTTAGCAATACATAGTCATAAGTCAATTTATAGATAACATACCACTTTATCCCGACTTACCTTCAACAATCGTTGATCCATATCTTCAGTAAAAGCAAATTTACGAAGGCAAAGGTTCCATCCAACTCCATACAAGTTTAAGTTAACTTTTACGCTATCGAGAACGTTAAAAAACTCTCATTAAGTACACAGGTGTTTTTTTTTAATAGTCATAAATGTATGTATTAAATCTATCTCCATTTTCGTAGTCATGTTAAGTAATTTTTATTTAAAGACACCTATCCTGTTTCGAGGGGAAGCTTACGATCAAGAGAAAGCCGACAAATTCGACGAAGCGCTAGGTTGGTTGAACACGTTCCTGGATGGTCGTCCCTTCGTAGCCGGAGAAAACATGACTGTGGCGGATATCACTATTGTTGTTACAATCACTAATATTGATGTAAGTCTAACAATTACTTTGACCTTGAAGGTGCATGAGTTTCAGATGTATGGTTTTGTTCTTAGAAAAGAGACAAACCTGATACATGATTTACATCAATAGACATCAGTAATGGTAGGGGCAGAGGTACGTCAATGCCTTACTATAAATAGCATAGGAGACGACAAAGATCTGCTTCGTAAAAATTAATACGAAACAAACTGTATCAGTATTGAACAGAGATAGATTGTGGTAAAAAAAGAAGGATCCTTTTGTTGTTCGACTCTCATATAAACCCAAACCCCATAGACACAACCCACTGAGTTTCTCCCCGGATTTTCTAGGTGGATCGCGATCTGATGGTAGATCGTGCGTAGCACTGCTCTTGCTAGGGGTAGTATTAGCATCTTCTCTCAGGTTGAATCCGTGAGCTCACCCACCCGTCCGCGCGAATCTGGAATAGCCCCTTAGGCTACCAGCGGTATGTTTAAAAAAAAACAACATAGCCAAGGAGAAATAGGGTCCGATGATTTTGATCCGAACGAAAAAAAAATAATCGTGGGATGAATGTAACTTCGCTGAAGCGGCGTGAACGAAAATGGTGAAATTTCGGATAGGTTCTAAGAGAACAATTGAACGCAGTAAAATATTGGATTTAGATTGCCATCGTATTTTACTCAATTAAAAAATTGGAGGTCTGTAAAAGTCGGTTTACGGATGATAGTTACGTGATAACGTCATAAAGAAACATTGAAATAAAAATTGCATAAAAATTGCATATAGATTGAATTGAATTATTTTCACTGAAGTATCATTATTTTGTCAAAAAGAAGGATTTATATAAATAAAAACTTTTTTTTAAAAATTAGCTTTTGGACCCACCGTGCCTCTGTATCGCTTGTTCCATGCTCTTGCTGGCACCCTCAGGCTCGGCCGGAACGTGACACTTTTTCGTGCGTGCAGCTGAGGTTTATCGATTTATAAGACGTTATCACGTTAAAAAAATAGTACTATAATCTATCTATATATATAAAAATGAATTGCTGTTCGTTAGTCTCGCTAAAACTCGAGAATGGTTGGATCGATTTGGCTAATTTTGGTCTTGAATTGTTTGTGGAAGTCCAGAGAAGGTTTAAACGGTGGATGAATATGAAAATGCTCGGAATAAATAAAAATAACAATTTTGTTTTTCCTTTGATGTGTCCCCCGTCGGACGGATTCCTTTTGTTTGTTTTAAGTTTATTGTATACAAAAGCTTATGTCTTTTATTTATCGATTGAGGCACTACGAAGTCTGCCGGGTCAGCTAGTATTTGATATATTTAATTTACGATAAATACTGCATTAAGCAGTTTAAAAAATATGTTTAATATTAATTGTTAAATAGTATATAATTATTGTCATTGCAGGCATTTGGTTACGACTTCAGCGCCCACGAAAATATTGCCAAATGGTTCGAGAGGACAAAGAAAATGTTGGAGCCCTACGGTTATGACGAAATCGACGTGACTGGAGCAAAAATGCTGGCTTCTTTCTTGAAGAAGGAATAATTAAAAAAAAATTAAATATCAGACAAAAGCACATTTATGTATCATAATAAATATTAAAAAACATCAAGCTATATTTGTCTTATTCGTTTAATACAGGCATTTTGTTTCTAAAAATATTTTTACTTACAACTCAATACGGATTATAATCACTTTCGTTATTTTAAGAAAACCAGCTTCCACTGCGTTAGTAAAAAACAAACTGAAGTGTTTAATTCTGGAAAATAGTTCATAATTGCTGTGAGGTGCTTCATCAATTATTAATTAAAGCAAGCACGATGATATGATATTTTTTCAGAACACTGTAATGAAAATAAAACGACAACTGCATTATATCTTACGTGAATTTAACTGCGGTCAGAGGCGAGTTTTATATGGAGTTGCACTGTTTGCTATTAAATATCCATCTCTACTATTTTGAATCTCTGGTTTTATTTGCGTTCCCAAAGCTGGATTTGCAATATACCATCAGGCTCTGAAACTTTCACAGTTTTTTAGTACTAGACTATGCTCAAATATGTTAATTGCCCAAAACACGTCATTACGGATCCTCCCGATCCATTATCGATGCTTTTAGGTACCACAAGCACCGGTCACCGTCCTCGTCGAACCCGTAGCTTGCGACGTAGGGCTCGACGAGCGAATTAACCGATAGTCACAGCCTACTGAGTTTCTCATGTATCTCTTTACATGTATTTTTTGTCATCTTATAAATTAGTGAACGAGCCTACAACTCAACCAGTGTGTAATGGTTTCCGGAGTCCATAGACAGAAGCGCGAATGGAGTCATCCCCGATTAGGACACATGAGATCGAGGACTCAATTCAATAGTGTGAACGGTTGTTTCACTAATCAGATCAGATAAGATAAGAAGGGGACATCGTGCTCCTTTGCTAGGGCATGGAGTGGGCCTCGGGGCAATCCCCACAATCCCCATTGCTCGGACATGAACTCCAGGCCTAGGCAGGGGTGACATGATGCAGGGGTGAGATAGGGGGAGGTCTGTTCGCAGCGTGCTATCAGTCGCAATTTACATTTATATATATACTTATACAACATATTAGTTGGCTTGAGCCAGGAGTGACCCCCGGCGGCAATAAACCCCTGAGTCACGCTGTCGCCTGTTGTTTTATTTTTTTCTACATGCTAAACTAACTACTAATCTACAACCACTGAAAACTAACTATAAACTATACAGATCAAGTGGAATGGTCCATCCACGGGTGTGGTGCAATTGGTCTCCATAGGGGGGCACCCCAACAAGTGGGGGAACGATGACTATGGACAGCTCAGTCCCATGGGGGCACTCAATATGAGCACTCCCATATCACTCCGGTTAAGCCATCTTTCCATAGCAGAGGGTTCCAGTAGCTTCCTTGGTAGCGCTCGACTTCAGGTGGTCTGGCGTACAAAGGAGCTGTATTCTGGAGATGCTCGAGGGGTTCACGTCAGCCCGCTCGTAAAGATTACAAGTACAAAGAGTACAACTCTTCGAGCGACTCCACATCCAGATCCCGGGCGATTAACGTCATTTCTGACGTAACGGCCTGCTCCTACTATTCCGTGAAGAGCCAAATTTTGCTGGACCTGCAACTTCTCCCGCATAATTCGCGGGATGAGGTGACACCAGGCCGCCAATGCGTACGTGATAGGGGAACGGACGTACGTCTTATATATGCCGAACTTAGTCCTGACCGGAAACCCAGAAGCAAACACCGGCCACCAACGCACCAAAGCCGAATTGGCGTAGGCGGTCATCCTCAAACTCTGGTCGATATTGACCCGAAGTACCGGATGCTAGATCTAAGCTCGACATTAGCGTTTCGGTGACTGAGCTGTCCCGGGACGACTGTTGTGCGGACCGGACTGAAGAGAATAGCCGCGGTCTTCCCCACGTTGATCGCGACCCTCCATCGGTCCAGCCACTAGGGCAGTAAGTCCAATAGTCTCTGCATCGTCGAGGGCCGCAGAGGGGAAATTAGATGACGCAAAGTAGGCGCTGTCGTCGGCAAACAGCGAAGGCATGGCTGATTAGCTGATCGATTCGAACACCGGCGCATCGCTAGATACAAGTGCAGCGCAGTCTTATCCTTTAGGCCACGAAGACTTCAACGTCGACTATTCTTGAGTAAATCCATCTGTTGCCTTTAGGATTCGAAGGACAGAAAGAGATGGGCTATTGTCTTTCTCCAGGGTCAAAACCTATAATGAATTGCTCATCGTGTATATCGTGTTCGTAATTTCAAATTAGACCATACTCTGTGGCTTTTCAATTAAATTAATTGTATGTTACTTACCTGATAGTTACCTGATAGTTAAGTAGTTTATTCAAGAAAACTTAGATATAAAACTGCTATAATTTTTAATTAGTGTTTAATGATTCCCAAGAGTCTTCGCGCGTGTTGTTGAAGCACGTTCATTGCTTATTATCTTTTTAAAATATATCTGATTCCATTTAAATATGAACGATTTCATGGTCGTAACATCTATATTGTTATTTATTAACGGCTTAGGGTGAGATTCTTATGGTTCTACTTTTTTTAGTTAAGCATTTGAAGTATCTTTAATTTAAAATACTAATGCATTGTTTTACACTAGTTTGACTTTTACACTAGACGTGCAGCCTAACTTAAATCTCACCGTATCTTCCAAGCGGGTCGCGATTCCGATTTGGTAGTAGACTAATTCGCGAAGCAGCTGCTCTTGAGTTGTTAGGTCTCCCTTGGAGGCGCTCGGGTAGCTATTAGCAAATCCCACCCCTCCTGGCTGAACCCTTGCTCGCCCACCTGTCCTTGTGAAACTGAAAAGGCCTCCAGGCGACCAGTAATTACTCAATCATAAAAAAAACGAATTTAACAACCTATACGGTAATATAGACGCATTTTAAGATTACTCACTGTTTTTTATATTTACCAGTGAATCGGCAGCAGGCCCCAAAAAGCTAGTGGCGCCTATAAAACTGTATTTTCTTCCACCGTCGCCACCATGCAGAGCTGTCATGCTGACAGCGAGTGTCTTGGGAGTTGAACTTGAGTTAATAGCTGTGAACATTTTAGACAATGAACATAAAACACCGGAATACCTTAAGGTAAAGCTGATTAAGTTTAGATTTCCCAAGTCTCTGTACTAAACTTAAGTAGTTTTTACCATGCTTTAATAACATTACGATTAACAGCCCTACGTCTTCTTTCAGGTTTGGTATTAGATTTGAATATTTTAATGTAGTGTAATTTATGCCTAATGTAATAACAATAAACGTGATATTTTTAGATGAATCCTCAACATACTATACCGACTATGGACGACAATGGATTTATTCTATGGGAAAGGTGACTATGACTTAATAATTTGATGAATGATGGATTGACGGATGCGATTAAGCGATATTTATTCTCCTCTATACTATTTTTCTAAATTTTAAATGAATTCATGTTTTGAATGAGAACTTGAAGTGAACCTACTTAATAATGTAGCCGCTTAATAATGCAATTTAACTACTGCGTTTAACGAGTTAAAATTTGTGATAAGCCCAAACGAACAGATGTCAGTGCTCTCTGTTTCTGCGGCGAAACAATCATGGATTTTATTTTAAAGAGTAAAACAAGGATTTTGTAGCACATATGAGATCTCAACCTGTAAAATGGGAGGTGTTATTAAGGCTTTAAGGTCTAACAGCCCCTTAAGGGCATAAACTTGTCTAACCATCTGTAATAGGGTTGAATAAAATTGGCGTATGAATCATTTAAAAATATACTACTACTATTCTTGTTTTTTGCGATTATGAGTAGAACGGCAATTTTTTAGTGACAAAAACAAAATTTGTGTCCACCTTGATTTTCAGTCGAGCCATTCAAGCTTATTTGGTAAATGCGTATGGAAAGAACGATGCGTTGTACCCTAAGAACCCGCGCTTAAGAGCGATAATCGATCAAAGGCTTAACTTTGATCTTGGTACCTTATCAAGAAGATGGATAGATCTATATGTAAGTTTAACTTTACTTTATTTCAATACTAATAGGTTATCTTCTTGTGTGCCAGGAGTATAGTCAAGCCGCCGATTATTTTAAACCTGCAATCGATGACAAAATAAAGTAGTAGTAAAAGTAGAATTTAAAAGGTAAAGATTAAAATTATTAGTTAAGGAGAAAAGATCGTGTTTGTTAATTGGAAGTCCAAAGAAATAGCAGTACGAGTACACCACCTCATAACACACCAGGCTATGGTGGTATGGTCTCGTCATTCGACGCAGATAACCATTTTCGAAACCGTTAACAATAATCACTGGAAAAAAATCTGAATTTTTTTGTTACTGACCTACTTTTGTTCTGTCATACAGTTATGATACACGGCGAAAATGTTTTATTACTACCGAACAATTATTTTATAGGTGCCAATGTTGATAAAAGGGGAACCATTTGACGATGAAAAAGGAGAAAAATTAAATGAGGCCCTGGAATTGCTCAATATTTTCCTTGAAGGCCACGCTTTCGTGGCAGGAGAGAATATGTCCATTGCTGATCTATCAATTGTCGTTATCATATCTAATTTAGATGTAAGTATTCTAAACAGACAGAAATTAACCATATTTTGTTAGTAAATAACAATGGTAATAACCACATCCAAATAACCTCAGATTCATTCAATCATTGGCTGTTTCTTTCATTGTAGGCAGTTGAATATGACCTTAGCTCTTATGATAATGTGAGAAAATGGTTCGAGAGGATGAAGATTGCTCTAAAACCTTACGATTATGAGGACATCGACCAGACCGGCGCCGAGATACTTGCCTCGTTTATAAATAAGGATGATGAATGATCACAAAAATATATCACCACCAAAACATTTGTCATATGTGTATCATGGAATAACGAGGATCATCTACTAGGGACTATTTAATTACATATATCTCAATCATGTTATATGCACACTGAAACATTATGTAATGAAAATGACTTATTTGAAAATAAAAATATCATTACATCATCATTCAGGCTTTGTTTTTTTTTTTAATTATCCCTATCCTATTAAGTTGACATCACAAAGCCATAGATATTCTGTTTTTGCTTTGGTTAGACAGACGAACTTACGACTCTTCTGGCTTAAAATGCGGCTATAGATGTTCAGAGCCATCACAACCTGAATACTGCAACCCACGTTGAGATATAAGGTCAAAGTCCCAATTTACTTTTTTTTTCCCTACGTATGCTGATAGGCTTGAGAGGCTATTTCAGCTTCACCTTGACGTGTAGGTGAGCTCGCGGGGCTCAAACCGGGAGTGTTGCTAGCACTGGCCCTAGCAAGAGCAGTGCTTCGCAGAATTTACCACCGGATCGGAAACGCGTCCCACTGAGAAGATCTGGCGAGAAACTCAATGGGCTGCCAAATTGACTAACAACTATTTCACGCATCAAAGCGAAACTATTAAAATAGACAGTATAGTGGAACCCGAGCGTGCACATAATACCACATTACGCATCTTCTAATACCCGATAATTTTATGTCATGTCCTTTGACAACTACATTAAAACACCATTCAGTAATATTTCAAGCAATATATCATGTAAATTTTAATAAAATACTGCAAGTTTATTAAATTTTAACAATACGAAGTGCGTATGAATGATGACGATCAAATATGGTGTAGTTTAAACAAACAACGTCCGGTCTCACGAGAATCGAACGCGTACATTAAGACATTTGTATAGGACAAAATGCATACAGAGTGCAAGCCAGCCAGCTCAATTACCAAAACAACACACAACACGATTGTTACAATCTAGAAAATCCAACAAAACGATCAAACACTTAACGATATTCATAAACAAAAGGGGAACGAAACAGCAATAGTGGAAGAGTGGGTCGCTTTGTCGCGTCCCACTAGTTGCTTCTTGGGCTTCGATAGGTACATCACGTAGCGATTGCGAGGAAAATGTGTTTGCTTCTGTGAAGTGTTACGGCTGATGTGTTTTAAATTGAAAATTAACACAGGTGTGGATTTCCGTTCATCAAAATGATCGTCGCTGTTGGTATTTTAATTTTATTTTTATATATTTATTTACTGTAACTTTTTGTAGTTAGTCGTGTTAGTCGTCCAATGTTTGTTTTAAGGTATCGATGTTTGATTTAAATAGCTTGTTTGAAATTAAACAACGTCTAAACATCTAATTGTTTCTAAAATAATAATTTGATTGAGCTTGGGGCTACACCAAATAAACATCATTATACAATAATTGTTACATTTCCCTTGTTACTAAACTGTTTCCTGTGTAATTACAAAACTATAACAATATTTAAACAATTGTTATGTGAAATTCTATACGCCTTATAAGAGCTACGTCTAAAATGCATCATTCATACGTGAATATGCAGGATGTGTTCATTGTTCGACTAAAAACGTTTATATTTTTCCAAGCGAACTCAAGATGTCTTGGAAGTAATTTTAAAGTATTATTTCGGATTGGTATTGATCAATCCACTCTTCGTGGATTAGTTGTTTTTCTGTAAAATTCGTTGTAACTTTACCTTCATGTATCCATCCATTTAATCTTGCATCCTCTTTGCAACGCGTGGGACAATGTTGGTCTGCCATCGAAGCAGCCGTTATGATTAGGGGCTAGTGGAGTTGTTGCTATCACCTGTGAGGAACGTCTGAAGACATCAGTGCCTTCCATGGTACTCTCAACTTAAACTCGGTGGCCACTACACCAAAATCTATTGACTCTTGTTGTGATAATTTAATCAAGGTACGACAAAGATGCATTAATAATGCATCAGAAGCAGCAGTAGCAGAAAAAGTGTAGAACACTAAAGGTCGTTCAGTGCAGCTAGGAATTACTCTAGATTAGTTAGATTAGTTGTCAGTGCGTGGTATTCCAGCTGGTACTGGCAATTATAGAAGAGAAGAAATCTGCCCAAAAACCTGAATCACACCATCGACATTTCCAAGATATTTTTTTTTGCTTAGATGGGTGGACGAGCTCAAAGCCCACCTGGTATTAAGTGGTTAGTGGAGCCTATACATATCTAAGACGTAAATGCGCCACCCACCTTGAGATATAAGTTCTAAGGTCTCAAGTATAGTTACAATGGCTGCCCCACCCTTCAAACCGAAACGCATTACTGCTTCACAGCAGAAACAGGTACCCGGTGGTACCTACCCGCGCGTGGATCTTACAAACAAGCTCCGAATAGCAAGATTTGAACTATAGGTCAACCGAGAAAAAACAGTGGCTAGTGTAATGTTCGATAATCTTATCACTATCGAACCTCTAGCTCAAAATGCAAAATAACACCTTGCTATGACCAGCTATGCATATGTTATAATGAGACTCAATGAAGCAATGAATGAATCATCGTAATTATTTTAACAAAATTGTCGTAATACCTAAAGCGTTTTAGTGATTTACAGAGGTTCATTTGCCTAGTCGGAATAATTTCAACGGCAGTGTCAGTTCAGTTTCAAACAAATCCTTCGTCAGATATGTCAGCAGACGAGACGAGCACACCGAAAAATAATAAAACTTTAGATGTCTCCGATGAAAGTGGACATGAATTAGAAACGGACGTGGATGACATCAAAGAGAAAAAGTTCCTAGACGAAGCCATGAAAGCGATATTAGATCCTCATGCTTTTATTCCAAAAAACCAAGATGAACTCGAAAGTTACAAACTCCAATTAGATGAATTAAACAAATCTAATATAAGTTTAGATTCATTCTTAAGCGAAATGGATAATTTAAGTCTTGAAGTATGCAAAACATCCCAAAAAGCATTATGGTCTTATGTATCTGATATCAACAATGAAACTAAAAAGAACAAAATGGTGAGAAACGAATGTTGTAATATTGGCCTCGATGGAGAAACTCTCAATTAGTAGTGCTCCGTAATTTATGGTTTCATTAACGTAACTGCGCAAATTACATTTTTAGGTTAGAATAACTGCAGAGGAAGACGAAATTAAGAAACAGTACTGGAATATTTTGAAGACAAAATATTTAAGCGACGATACAATTAAGTATGATCGTAATTACCAGCGTAAAATTAGAATTATAAAAAACCGTGGGACTAACGTACAGATGCCACAAAGCAAGGTGAGCTAATAATAAAATTTTATTATTAATGTAACTCGGGTAGATGTTAAAAATAAATGTTTATTTACTGCCATAGATTTGCAGACGGAGTCCGACTAGTGTTTAGTAGTTAGTGGAACACACATCACAACGTGAATATCACCCTCCCCCAGATTTTAATAAGGTCTAAGTCTCAATCATTATTCTAAAACGGCTGTCTCATCTTTCAAACCGCATGACCGCTTCACGGCACAGTATTTAAAGACCCTGGGCCAGGAAGGTCAAGTACCTGGGCGTTACCCTGGATGCATCGATGACATTCCGCCCGCATATAAAATCAGTCCGTGACCGTGCCGCGTTTATTCTCGGTAGACTCTACCCCATGATCTGTAAGCGGAGTAAAATGTCCCTTCGGAACAAGGTGACACTTTACAAAACTTGCATAAGGCCCGTCATGACTTACGCGAGTGTGGTGTTCGCTCACGCGGCCCGCACACACATAGACACCCTCCAATCCCTACAATCCCGCTTTTGCAGGTTAGCTGTCGGGGCTCCGTGGTTCGTGAGGAACGTTGACCTACACGACGACCTGGGCCTCGAATCAATTCGGAAATACATGAAGTCAGCGTCGGAACGATACTTCGATAAGGCTATGCGTCATGATAATCGCCTTATCGTTGCCGCCGCTGACTACTCCCCGAATCCTGATCATGCAGGAGCCAGTCACCGTCGACGCCCTAGACACGTCCTTACGGATCCATCAGATCCA